CGGGCCGAGTCGGCTGCGGGGCGAGTGCGGGAGGGGCGCCCGGCGCTCCCGGAGACTCGGGCCGCTGTCTGCGGCGCGGCGGGGTCGGCGACGCGGCTCGTGGGGCCTTTGAGATGCCTCGTAAATGCACGCGGTGACATTGAGCAGAATTCTAGCAAAGAGCTCGGCTCTACTCAGAGGTGTAAAACATGGACGCAGGTTCTTTTAAGTTTACAGTGCTTCAGTTTAACCGTGCAAAACAAAAGGGATCGCTTTGGCTGTCCTTACCGGATTGTACTCTTGATTGGTGATTTACCCTTGAGAATTTGTGCATGGGTATTTCTGTTTGGGACAGTGGCTGTATGTAATTACATACTCTTGTTCATAGCACATGTAAAGAAGTGTTTTTGTAGGAAAACCATGTAACTGACATGTTCCTCATCTGTCAGCGGCTTCATAAACATCAAATATAAAAGCAAAAATCTGAAAAGGAACTCAAATGATTTGCTGTATTTGAATTAAATAAGTTGTGCAACAACTATTACCTTCAAAGTTTGAAACGTCATAAAATTTGTATTAAGATCTAAAAAATGTTACTTTTTTTGGTACTGAGAATCGAACTCAGGACATTGCGCTTGCCATGGAAGGTGCTGTGCTGCTGAGCTATCTCCCCAGCCGAGAAATGTTACGTTGAATAGATCAATGTAGAAAGTTGTGTATATATAGTTCCTAATAGCATAAACACATGGTCAGCTATTGAGAGAGGAATAATTGAGAGAATAGGGAATTTACCAAATTTAGGGGCACTGTTTGCTTTTACACTTTGAGTTCATCTGCAGTCACATCTTAAATTTTGTGACTGAAGTAAAATGTCTTAAGCTCTAATTTGAAGAAAAGTTGTACATATAAATACTGTAAAAGCATAGTGTAGTCATTTTGAATTCGTAAACAACCTTTTTTTCTCCCTTTTTCTTTTAAACAGCAGTTCTGTGGTGTTCTTGGTCACACATTTATGGAGTTTCTGAAGGGCAGTGGAGATTACTGCCAGGCACAGCACGACCTCTATGCAGACGAGTGAACTGTAGAGATTCCTAACTGCTCCACCAAGAAGCCCTGGAAGAGTGGCTCACCTGGACACAGAAGTGGTGAATTGAAATCGTAGAGCATTTTACAAGAGTTCTGACCTGGATGGGGTAAACCTTAGTGCACTTCCGATTGCCTCAGTGTTACTGGATCGAAGGATTGCTGCTTCTTGTTAGGAGGTTCATTTCATTTCCCAGTACTCCCCACACCACACTCAAAGCACTGAGAAGGTCAAGCGGAGTATACTGAAGTAGACTTCAGTTTCTTGCATCGTTTTTATTCAAGTTTTAAAATTCTTTCATAACCCTTTTGAGTGTTTTTGTAACTAAATTAACATGGCTCGAATGAACCGCCCAGCTCCTGTGGAAGTCACATACAAGAGCATGAGATTCCTCATCACACACAACCCAACCAATGCAACCTTAAACAAGTTTATAGAGGTAAGAGTTGATACTTCCTAGTGTCCTAAATTGATGGGAGGGTATGTGAGGCCAAAATACTGGGGATTTGTTCTTTTTTTTTTTTTTTTTTTTTTTTTTTTTTTTTTTTTTTTGTCCTTTTGAGACAGGGTCTCACTGTGCAGTTCAGGCTGGCCTTGAACTCACGGTGATCCTCCTGTCTCAGCCTCCCAAGTGCTGGGATTACAGGCGTGCGCCGCCACACCCGGCCTCAAAATACTGTTTTAGAAAGTATGAGATGACGTACCTACCGGTGCACTTCCTAGAGATTAGATACCCATGTGTTCATGAGAGGTACATTATTTTACACCCCTTGAGAAGGACATGTGTTTGTAGATTTACAAGTGAATAGCTAGTTCTTCATGCCTTTGAGTTTGCTTAACTTGATCTGTGGAAAGCTGAACAGTGTGGCCCTCACTTGTAAGAAATGTACAGGTGCAGGGCTGCCATTTATGGATTTTGTCCTGTCTGCTTAGCCTACTGCCATGAACCGAAGTTAGTTTATGTCTTGGGCTACAGACAATGGTTAGAATTAAATTTTTCACACTCATTCTGCTGCTTCCTGCTGGTGGCTTGGTAGCCAACATTGCCTAGCTGGCTCCTTTTACTGGAGGGAAGGATGTAATGCTCAGTGATTTACCTGAACACACATTTTATTTCATAAATGTATTAATGCAAGAAGTTATAATTAGTAATTCATTGTAAAGCCTGTAGTTTTAAATGATAGTAGGCTTAAGACTTACTGTACTTACAGTACTATATTTCTAATTCATGAAGACTTAAGAAGTTACTGTGATTTAGTCAGGTTGGATTACTTGATGAGTTGTTACTCATTCCTTTGGTTGTATTCATCTCAGTCCTTGTTACTTCTGCCCCTTTTTTGTTAGTGCTTCATACCAACTCAATGTTGCTGTGACTATAAATTCCAGATATGGAGGGCCAATTTTTAAGGATTTCTAATTTATTAAAAATATGTGGTATTTAACATCTTTTACACAGTTCTGTTTTAAGCAAGATGGGCCTCAGGCTGTACATACATTGGCAGCTCTACCATTGCTTGCCTGATTTTCTGTTATCCAGCATATATACTGGTCACAGTGATCAGAATAGCAAATGATGAGCAACAGTGGTGTAATGAGGAAGACCTTTTTGTTTTGTTTTAGCTTGGTTTTTTTGGAACTCAGGACCTTGTGCTTGCCAAGCAGACAGTTGGGCTGCTGAGCTGTATCCCCAGTCCCTCATTGTTTTTTCATGTACATTTTATCTAGGAACTTAAGAAATATGGAGTTACCACAATAGTAAGAGTATGCGAAGCAACATATGACACTACTCTTGTGGAGAAAGAAGGCATCCATGTTTTTGTGAGTATTTAACTTCCTACATGTTTATGATACTATGTTCGCAAAAGTTAGTAAACCACAGATGTCAAGAAGCTTAATGTTTAAAGTTGTGGCAAAATCACACAGTGTCTTAATTTTCAAATGAATACAGGTAAAAGCTAAGCAGAAGTTTATTCTTTTTGTTTGGTTTTGGTTTTGGTTTTGTTTTATCTTTTTGAGACAGGGTCTTGCCATGCAGTTCAGGCTGACCTTGAGCTCACTTTGTAGTCCAGGCTGGTCTCAACTTGCAATGATCCTCCTGCCTCAGCCTCCTGAGTGCTGAGATTATGGGCGTGTGCCACCACGCCCAGCTTTAAGCAGAAGTTTAAAGTAAAAAATCTTGATGAGAATAGAGTTGCTCACAGTTTATTGATAGTGGGGCTTAATGAAACATGGTTAAACTTACTAATCTAAAATATGTAAATATTCTTTTGATTTAGGATTGGCCTTTTGATGATGGTGCACCACCGTCCAATCAGATCGTTGATGACTGGTTAAATCTTGTGAAAATTAAGTTCCGTGAAGAACCTGGTTGTTGTATTGCTGTCCACTGTGTTGCAGGCCTTGGGAGGTATGCAAATTTCTTCATTTGAGTCTAGAAAAAGATAGGTTGATCTGAAGTACACTTTATAAGTTCTTCTAAATTTTTATACATAAAGTCAGGACTTAAGCACAGGTATTGCTTAACTGGGATGATGTGGCAGGAGAGATTTTCTAGGCTATGAGTTAGAAATAATAACTTCTCAAAATTCTTGTTTTCCAGAGCCCCAGTGCTTGTTGCTCTAGCATTAATTGAAGGTGGAATGAAGTACGAAGATGCAGTGCAGTTCATAAGACAGTAAGTGGTGGTTTCTGTCTCCATTTGCACCCTCTTGTCGTCTTATTTAGTGTCAGTGAGCCTTAAGTATGTTACAAATTACCTTTATTACTGTAGCCCTTTTTAAGATAGAATTAAGCTGAAAAATATCTTTCATTCTATGCAGATGCTCACTACTTGAATCTAATTGACAGCATTCTTTGAATTACTGTTTTTACTTTAGATTATTGATTGACTGTTAACTTTGTGATTTGGCATTTTATCGTGGTGTAACTAAGGTGATAAAAATTCACAAGTTCCAAAGGAGGGTCATTAGACAAAATAGGCATGGGAAACACCCAGTGCAATATACACAGTTGGGTTTTTAGTTCTCTGGAACATCCCTGTTGTGGCCATGGCCGTGTCATTCATACCAGGGTCATCTTCCTTGCCACCAGAAGCAAACTTTTTCTGACTTCAGTCACCATAAGTTAGTTTTGTCTTTTCCTTCTAGAAAGCGGCGTGGAGCTTTCAACAGCAAGCAACTTTTATATCTGGAAAAGTATCGTCCTAAAATGCGGCTGCGCTTTAAAGACTCCAACGGTCACAGGAACAACTGTTGCATGCAATAAAACTGGGGTGCCTGATGCTACTGCCTTGGACATGGAGCTTGAGGCGGAACCTGATTTGTCATACGTATTAGCCCTTATGTTGGCTTGGTGAATAAGTCTAATGAAGCTTCTGTAGGAGCGTTGAAAAGCAGTTATACAGGCTACATACAAGCTTGACAGATTGCAACCTCTATGTTTGGGTTATGATCAATGTATTTGGACAATTACAAGATTCTTACTGTTCAGCATTTAAAATGTGCTTATCATTTGTACCAATTGACTTCCCTGAAATCATGCAGTATTGAGTTATGGCTTTAAGGCTATTTCCATGCCAGAATCTTAATGATACATAAGAAATTTAGAAAGATTAGGTGCCAAAATAGCCAGCACAATACTCTTACATTTTTAGTATCATATAGAACCAAAATTGCAGGAACTAAGAACACTCTAGACCTGTGGTTTATTCCTTCCGTCATTTCAAACATTGTAGGGCCTGTGTGGCTATTTGCTTGCTCACTTTATGTTTACATCTCTCATATTCATACCAATGTACATCAGGTTTGCTTAAACATTGATTGTTCTTTTCAATTATTACCAAGTCTTGTGATTATTTAATGTCTTTCTATAAGTTTTTTATTTTGTGCTGTTGTAGGAAACCTCCATTTTGAAAATCTACATTATTACAGAAGCACATGTCTTTAATGTCTCAGACAAAAAAGCCTTACAGTTAATTTAATGCCTGCACCCTGAGGCGCAGACTACCAGGGAGGGCCTAAAAACAGACTAGGAGGGGGCTATTCAATATTTTTAGTAAAATGTTGCCTTTGTCTTGTGCAGAACTTGTAGAAAATGCTCTTTACTTTAGTAAATATTTTTTAAAAGGTATAGATGCTTTGTTATTGTAGCTAAAACAGTTCTTAATCATAAAAGTTCTGAAATTCTTGTAATTTTTTCCATACTTATCAGAAGTTGGTTACCAACTTATTTTTGTTTGAGGTGTGATTTTTTTTTTTTTTTCCCTTCCCAACCTCTTGCAAAAAAAAAAGTGGGTTTCTGCTAATGAATTGAGCAGACATCTAATATTTTATATGCCTTTTGAGCTGTGTAACTTAATATTTGGATACTTCACAATTTGTTTTATGATGTAACTGATAAAATGGTGATGTGTATTAATGTTAGTTCAGCCATCTGTGTACCGTCTGGGTTTATACCGTGTGATTACAGTTCTGTGGGAGAAATAATTTGTTAGTGTTCACAGCTTGTAAAAACTTAGTGCGAGAGCTTAAACATCTAATAAATAGTGAAATGCATTTATCACTGAGATTGTTTTGCTTAAAGTTAACTTATTTTTGCAGAAAACAAAGCTAATTGCACTTACTGCCAGTTGTTGTAAACTGTCCTTTTTTTTAAACAAATGAAGTGTTAAATGAAGTCAAGTCATCACTTTAGTTTTGGGCATAATTTGTTATGGTCATAATGTTTAGTACTAAGTTTTATAAACTTGATCTACACAATTTTGAATCAGTTTGTTGTGTACTTAGAAGAAAGTACAGAGAGAAGAGCTTGGTTTTTACAGTTCAGTGAGCCACTAATAGTAGTTTCGTGTAACTTGTGAACCTTAGTTTTCTTTTTTGCAAGTTAATTATTACATGCCTTTTTAGAGACTGACATTAACTTGAACCTAAGTACTTGGCACATTAAGACTAGTAAGTTTTTTTCAATAATCTGAAATATTCATAGTTCACCTTTATCTAAAAGGGGAAGATGTCCTTATCTCATTTTTTAAAGATAGTAGTTATAAATGTGAACTAAAAGTTTTAGCAACATGATATTTCACGTTGGTTTAGAGAATGTGCTTCCTATCTTGTCAATTTAGCACTTCTATCCCCTTTTTAAAATTTAGCCAGGGCAAAAGGAAAAAAAATGTCCCTGGAGGTCCTTGATTTTTTAAATCTTAGATCATTTGTGACTAGAGTAAGTTATTTAACCTGAGCTATTTTTTTTTTTTAATACAGCCCACACTTGAATAAGAAAAATTTGTGTAGTTGATTACTAAGTGGTACATTATTACCACACAGCCGATAGAATAGCATGTGTGTTTAGTGGGAGAGAAGAGGTTCCAATAATTAATGAAAATCTTTCTAAGTTTGAAAGGTTTAATTTGCAGTATTGGATTGTATATATGGTGCTAAAATCACTTTATAACCCTTATCCTGTATAGTATACAACATGGTAAGATTTGCTTTTTAACCAGATATTTTGTATCATGTAAATATGGCTGATCATAGGAATGCCTGTGATACATTCTAAAAGATTCCATCTGTCTAGTAAGAATTGAAAGAATCGGTCTTGATAAAACTACCAGGTGGTATTCGAAAATTTGGCTACTGTCAATGGGACAGTGTAAATAGTTGCCTAGACTTTTCTGTAGGAACTGTAGTGTTGCTGATAGAAGCAGTGTGATTACTAAACTCTGAGAAAATGCCATCTGTTTTTAGTGGAAGGAGAGCCCTAGTAATGTCACTGGTCATTGTGCAGTGCACTGCAACCTTCGTGTGTTCCCGTCCTAGTCTCACCTTACTCCAGTGCGGCAGCCCCCTGGGTCATGTGATCGTCTGGTCACCTTCCCCTGCAAAGTGATACTGTGGTTTCCCTACTTGGCTGCAGTCTCAGTCTCTATAGATCTATTTTAAGTGTCATATTTATCTAACAAATAGCTGTTTGCCAGGTGATGGAGAGCATTGTGGAGAACATAAAAGGGGGTCACCAGTAAGAACCCCACCTCTTGCTGGAATAAACAGATTGTTTTTGATTGGAATTTTAGGGCATTGTAATCTGATGAAAATACTTCAAATGGAAATAAAAGCAACAATGTTTCCTGTACATGTAAATTGAAATTCTTCTAAGTTTTTAAATTCATGAGGTAGCGTCAGCCAAACGTTTATACTCCACATTCTTGATTTGTTGAATTAAATGTTTGTAGATGTGCCTCCACCTGATTTGAAAATTAAAAACTTGTATAAAAGTATCTGACACTTAATTTTTCTACCTTATGTTTGAGGTAACCAGCCTAAGCAGAATCTTGGAACAAAAGTAAAGGAAAGTTATATTTATGTTTAATGACTTAGGCTGGTTATGTATGTCGCCAGGAGCAGAAGAGCTAAGAGTAGCTCTATAGCCTTTGATACATATTGCCATGCTAGCCATTTAATGTAGAACTATCGTAATGGTCACCATTAGAAATCTTACTGTCAAGTAATTTTCAGACAATTTCCTCCCAATAACAACGTTCCAATTTTATGTATACGGGGTTTGAGCCTTCAGAGACTAGCTGACAGGTCATAGAACTGAAAAATTAAAATGTACATTTGAACCTGTCCAGTAAACCACATTTAATACAAACATATACAGTATGGCTTTTCTGGTTTTTTTACTTTTTTTTTGTTTCGTTCTTGAGACAAGGTCTCACTGTGTAGTTCAGGGTGGCCTTGACCTCACTATGTAGTCCAGGCTGGCCTTGAACTTGTGTCCATCCTCCTGCCTCAGCCTCTGAGTGCTGGGACAGCAGTCATGCACTGCCGTGCCTACTTACAGCTATTTTTTATGTAACCAGTTTTTAAAACTTGAGTTCTTGGAACTCTTTCTTATTGAAATCATTTTCATTAAACATAGTATTTAAAATTTTTTTTCACTTTAAGCCTGTTTTCTAGAAAACCTTTTTTTGAAACTTGTCGGAATACTGTTTGTTACACTGCAATACCAACTGCAATCTCAACTGTCAGAATTAAGACTAAGGATTGCTCCTTTAAACTTGATGTCCTCTATCGAGAGCCAAGTGGTGGAACAACTATGCTGAAACAGCTAGTTGACATCAGAAGGTAAGCTCGCAGTGAGTGCAGACTAAAACCTCGCACGTCATGTCACTTGAACTCTGAACTGGTCACATAGCTGCCCAGCAATGGAGAGTGACTTTGTCACGTGCTGAAGATCAAGAAATACATAGGAGTGATTGCTGGCTCATCACAGTTTATGTAGGAGTTCACTCAGCAACAAGAACTGAAGTAAAGGGGTAGTTTGCCAGCAACCAAAGTAAGTGTCATAAAATTCAGGTACGAAAGCTTGTGCTTATGAAAGAATCTTAACTTAAGTAACCCTATTGAAGGTTTCAGCGGACTTTGGTAATTTGGTTTCCTGCCAGATAAGAGGTGCTGGAAGGTGCAGAGCACGGGAAAGTGCACAGTAGCAGTAAGATACACTTGCCAGTTTGTCAACTGAGAAAGTAAAAGCAACTGAATTCCAAAAGCACAGCCATTTGGAACCAGTCAATGTTAGGCTTATATCTCAGACCTGAGGACAGCAATGTTAAAGCCATGAAGAATATGCATCATGAAGTTTAGTTTTACATTTTATTACAGCAAGGAATTTTACAGTTCAGTGTTTTGAAAGGATGCCTGTAGATATTAGAAAAGTGCCGTGATTCACTTGGGCAAACTGGGTTAAACTTTAGTGGGCTGACATCATTCACCACAGTATTAAGGGGAGCAGGTAACGTGTTGATGGGGATTTTGAATCTTTGCATGGGAGGATGTAGTATTTAGCCATTGTGTGCATCAGCATGTCAAGGAAACAAATGGTAGGTTCACTAATAAAGGGAAAGCAGCAAGAGTGTTTATGGTATAGGTATCAGCTCCAAAACTGATGGCAAGGCAGAAGGCAGCATTACCAGGACTTCACAGCAGTCCTTAACGGTGCTGCCTGGGAGAAGCTGCAGCTGTAGTTGGAAGGTCGTCAACTAGTGGCAATCTGCTAAGAGGGGGGAGTCCAAGAAATCAGTGCTCACCTTGGTTCTCTCCTCCCCTTCAGTGCCCTTTGAATCTCTCCTCTCCTGCCATCCTCCAATACCCTGTAGCTAAACCCGATGGGAAGGCACTAAGCAAAGCAAGCTGGAGCGTGTGCAGATCAGCCTTTCACGTGCCAAGCAGAGCAGAGTAGAAACGGGAATGAATTCTGTGACTCTGTGTTCCCTTTGTACTCACAGATGTCTGGGACTAGGATTCTGCAGGACAGACTGAGAAAAGTTGAATCATTCATTAAGCCATCCAAACGGTCACATATGCCCTCGTATTTTGAAAGTAAAAATATAATGGAAGCCAAGTAAATGGTTTAATTTCAGTTGAATGAACCAAGTGTTGAGGGGGAGGGGCGGCAGAGTACTTGCGCAACTTCTCAGAGCTGTGTGATCGGTGTCCGCTTCACTTCAACTGTGCATTGTGGTCATGGAGTCAAATCATGTTCACAGAACTGTCCCAGAACTAATTTCTTCCCAAAGCTTTCTTAAACCATTATTTAGATAATTTCTCCTCAAGTATCATATTATGACATGCATGTACATCATTTTTCAACTTTTAATTGACCACTCTGCCAGACCCTCGTCTGACTTCTGTAATTTGAATAGTTCTCAAACATTACTCACCAACTTCATAAAAGCCTACAATTTAAAATCAGTTTCACATGTTTACAGTGTAATTGGCTAAGTTGATTGGCAAGAAAATGAATGGCATTGACTTTACTAGTGTTAATTGGGGAGAAATACCAATATAAAGACTAGTTTCATAAGTGGATCTTTACTAGTAAAAATACTCTTGCTTCCCTTAGAAATTTACTAACTCGGGGACTCAAGTGATGACTATAATAGAAACAGAGTAAGAGTTCACGTGGGTCAGATGGGATTTGGAGCCAGGTGTGGTGGTCCCCTGCCTATAATCCCAGCGGGAGGCTGAACACCAGGATTGCCCAGGGTTTAAGCCCAGTCTGGGCTACATAGTGAATCCAAGGCTAATCTGAACTACATAGCCAGACTTTGTCTCAGAAAACCAGTACCCAAACAAAATATTGGGATTTGGGACAGGCACAAAATTGGGATTTGGTGGCACACTCTTATAATCCCAGCATTTGGGAGGCTGAGGCAGGAGGAGCATTGTGAGTTTGAGGCCTGCCTGGGCTACCTAGTGAGTTCAAGGCCAGCCTGAACTGCATAGCAAGGCCCTGTCTTAAAAAAAAAAAGAGGAGGGGGATTTGGGTCTATGGTTTGTAATTCTGTTCCGTTGCCTGTGTTCATTACAGACCTGATTACACTAGAAGCCTATCAATAATGACAAAAAGATAATTCCAAAGAATTTAACCAGTAACTTCCACTTCTTGTCAAGGAAGAACCTAGCCTGAAGGAATGGCTCATCCTTTAGATTCTAATTCTTATTAAGATGCAAAATTTGTAACACCAAAATACCTGTATCTAGGTTTGCCCCTAGTTTCAACATATTTGAACAGTTCTTTCCTTCACAGGGATCTTTTTTGGTGCAGTCTCTGCTGAGTATTTCCCTAATTTGAATGTAATCATAAGGAAATCAGTATGCTAAGAAACCAGCCCTGTAAAATCTTTTCATATTTACTAGCCTCTATTTTATATACATAACAATCTATATCATGCATGCTAGGATTTATTCAAGTATTAAATCACAAATTTGATTATTAAACCTTTTTTTCTTAGTCAATACGTACATATTCAAGAAAAAATACTTTTTAAAGTAGAGAGGTTCTATATGCTTTGTTGGCAAAAGTGGAGCAAGAAGAAAAGCAAAGATCCAGGCTTGTGAGACCTGTTCGGTTTTTCAGTTGATTAACATAAGGAAATCAAATTAATTAGGTAGACTTCCTTGCAAGTACTTAACAGCGCATGTATTGGGCATAGAAGACAAAGTAGCGAGGATCCACTTGGCCCCTACCATTGTGCGGCACAGGTGAGCAGGTCAGAATTTAAACACGAGCTGCTAAGGATAGCATAATAATAAAATGCAGGGGCTGGGGATTTAGCCCAGCAGCACAGCCCTTGCCTGGCAAGCATGAGGTCATGAGTTCAATTCCCGGTACCGGAAAAACAAACAAAAAATAAATAAATAAAATGCAACTAATCCAAACCATTTACTGAAAGATTCTGGGTTACACCTTTGATGTCACTTCTCAGAACTTTCCACTTTGGAAAAGTTAAAGAGGAATAACTTGATTAACTTTTACTTGGTATTAGCTTTTAAGAAACACTCATGTCTCCCACAATGTAAAGCACGTAGAATAGTTATCAGAGATCTAGCAATGGTACCCTGTTCTTTTGAAATCAGCCTTCACAGGTTGGGAATTTAACTTTGAGACCCCACAAGTTAGATAAGTTGTTGACTACTGAGCTACATCCTTAACCCTATAGGATCATCCTTACCATCCTGTTTGAAATATACAAAAACATATTCCAAATCCTTAAAAAATTAACTTTTCTAACCTCTGTACAATTTCAAATATATGATTCCTGTCTTTGAAATACAACATATAGTGGACCTGCAAATTATGACTGGGCTCACATATGAACAACTTGGGTTATGACTGGAATTTTAGGTTTTGATGGAAACCCCTATGAAGCAGCCCCAAGCAGGATTTAAATTAACCCATTGGCTTTTTATGTTTACTTGTGAATCTGTCCACTTGTCTGGAAGTGGGTGACAACATAGTAAGTGAAGCTCTGTGAGTCACTAATCCTTACTAAAACCTGTAGTGGCAGATGAAGCTAGAAAGCCTCAAAGGGTAAGACAAGCTCACAGCCAAGGACACCTGGATCCTATATCAATTAGATAAAGACTACAGCCTCAGGCATCTCATTCCTGGGTGGATTAATTTAATCCTTATTAAGGATTAACTTTATACCTTACTTGGAGAAATCCTTGAGTAATTCTGCCCTTTTTGAATACTACCCTCCGTTCTGATAACCAAATAAATATGGGCCACCCAGAGAAGGTCTTGGTCTTAGCCCTGAGTACATCTCAAATTCTGTGAGATGGCGTTGATCCTCCTGAAATCATTCCATTTGCTTCTTTTTATTTAACCTTTGTTGTACACTCATTTGGGAGATTTTGGACCTGATCAGCCCGCAATGACTAAGGGGTATTATTAACCCATAAGGTTTAATTTAGGACCAAAGTCTTGAGT